TCTCTGTGGTAGTTTTGTGTCTCTTTGTGGTTGTTTTGTGTCTCTTTGTGGTAATTTGCATCTCTTTGTAGTAGTTTTGTGTCTCTTTGTAGTTGGTTTGTGCATCTTTGTGGTCATTGTGAGTTTCTTTGTCATTGCTTTACATCTTTTTGTGGTTATTTTAAGTTTCTTTGTAGTTATTTTGAGTCTCTGTAGTTGTTTTGTTTGTCTTTGTAGTTGTCCAGATTGTCTTTGTTGTTGCTTTGCATCGTTTTGCAGTAGTTTTAAGTTTCTTTGTCGTTATTTTAAATCTCTTTGTAGTTTGTATCCCTTTGTGGTTGTTTTGCCCTTTTTATAGTCTCTGAGACTCTCTGTGTCTCTTTGCAGCTGTTTTGCATCTCTTTGTGGTCATTTTGAGCATCTTTGTGGTGGCTTTGTGTCTCTGTCATTTGTGTCAATTTGTAATATCTTGAACCTTTTTGTTGTCATTTTGAGCGTCTTTCAGGTTGTTTTGCTTCTTTTCGAAGTACTTAAGTCTCTTTGTGTTTAAATCTCTTCCTGGTCTGCATGTGTTAATTTAAGTGACATTCTGCTGGTTAAGGCCAGAGGGGCCCCTGACACTGTGGGCCCCTGGACCTGTGCCTGGTAGGCCTGTTCATTAATGCATCCATGGTTTTGACAAAGATTTAAGTAGGATTGAAATAAACATTAGGTCTACACATAATTCCAGATAGTATCAGTGTTTGCAGCTTGTAAGACTTAATACTTTACTCATTCATTCTTACTTTGCGATTAAACTGTGAAGATTCTTATTTTACTTTATAATTTTTCGTCTAGGTTAACCTTTCCTTTCACCTCTGTACGCAGACCTGACAGCCTAGGCCGAGCTTCATTCACATTTGCTGAATGAGTGTTTAACTAAATCCCACCAGCTGACGGGGCCAGAATCGGCAGAGGTGACAGCCTAAAAGCCCTTCCTGTGGCCTAACTAATGTCCACACCAGAAGTGCAACCTTTGCAAAGCCTGGCCGGGGACAAAGGGGAGACGAGAGAAACGGTGTATGCCGTCATCTTTGAGTAATGGTGCCGCAACAAAGGGGCTAACTTGAACAGACAAAAGCTGGTAATCTTTGTTGTGAGAAGGGTCAGCTTTGACTTTAAGCCACCGGGGGTGATACAAGTTATGGAGAAGCCATCGTACATGTGCAGTGTATTTACACTGAGTTTGAAGAAGAACTCTGCATGTCTTCATCAGTTCATTTCATTTTAGTTTTTGCTTTATTCCAATAAACATTCAGTCATTACAGTGTACTTTCTGTGACATCTACAGAGGCCCAATCCTGTCACTGAGGATTTTTTCTATTTCTGTCTGAGACCTCTAAATATCTCTGTCTCCAGTCAGACAAATCAATAGTAATAACCATGTAGATAATAATAATCCAGTTGCTGACTTTATATGAGATAGCTAGATGTCAATTATATCAAGCAGGCGTATACTTACAGAGGCAACACATGGCTGACACATATAGTTTCCTCATCACGTGCAGCTGTCATCTTGAAATGCAAACCAAACACTTTTAAGTGGTATTTATAGTGCAGTAAGAATGGCTCCCTGCTAAGCTGTCTGATCGAATGAATACACACACTCCCCTCCTGATGTATAAGATGAAATAAAACCTGCAGTGTAGGAGGAGATACTCCAAGTTGATGCAGCAGGTGCTGACATGCCGGATTGTGCCAAATATCGGTTATGGCACAGTGGAGCTACGAGCGCCTTGTTGTCGTCTGGCATCCTGCGTCTGTCTCCCACACTGAACTCATTCACTCCAGTTCATTCATTTTCTCCATTCGTTTTCTCAGATGTGGGCAGTGCATTATTCCAGAATGCCTTAACACAGGCTCAAACGCCATTCAACTGTTTTCTTTGGATTTTAAGAATCTGTTTCATTTTGCTCTTTCTTAAAAAAATGTCCTGTGATTTCAATCACCCACTTAAATTCATGATCATACTCGTCTTTGGTTCTTTGCTGGGCTCAATCTAGTCTTGCTTCATGTCCTTAAAATGAGTTATACGCTGGTAATTCCAGGAAAAATGTGATGCAGAATATATCAACTTTGTAGTGTGTAATAAGAGTCTAGGCCTTGATATCTGCTCTGTGAGACTGTACTGAGGCAAAGCAGACAGTACTTTGAGCTTAATGCTAACACAAGCATTCTGACTTTCTTGCTGTGACGATGCTAACATGCTAATGTTAAAGGGACAGTTCATCCAAAAATCAAAAATCTATTGTTCTTCATACCTGTAGTGCTATTTATTAGTCTAGATTGTTTAGGTGTGAGATACAGAGTGTTGGAGATATCAGCCGTAGAGATGTCTGCCTTCTCTTGAATATATGGAACTAGATGGCACTCGGCTTGTGGTGCTCAAAGAAAGCAGACAGAGTTATTCAAGATTATAAACAGACAGTTGTGACAGATGTAAATGATTTTTAATTCTTTGAATTATTGGGCCGAAAGCTTGACCCTAACCCTTTCAGGACGGTGGGCACAGCAACATGTTCTTCCAGTGGGACAGTGATACCAGTGGTAGTCGCCGATTGAGCGTCGTCACGAGCTAGCTAATGTTAGCTGCCACCAAACCGGGTGGTGCTTAGTAAAGAGCGGTAAAAGAAAACAGTGGAGACTGCAGGTTGAGCTGTTGGCATCAAATGGCAACCTCCAGGATGGAGGAGTCAAGCCAATGTGGAAGTGCCAAAAACTGCAATTCACTGACTGGTCACTTGAGGCTAGGTCCAAAACAGAGCAAATGCCCTTAGACCCCCATGTTGAAATGCCCAAATTTACTTCTAACAAAAACATGTTTACAGCCTTGTACAAAAATGGCTTTGGTCTCTGTGGCTTATTTCATCATTCATGACAACTGCACGGGGGTGAATTGTTTTAGAATGATCCCATTTTAATGTTATTAAGGCTTAAGTTTTGCATAATTAAGGGCGTGACCACTTTGACTGACATGCTGTCAGCTCGGCCACTTAACTTGACCTCCTTACCGTATTTCGAGGTGCTGGAGCTGGCTGGCCGGAGGCTGTCGGAGATTTTTTAGTACAAATGTCAGACTTTTAAGAATAATAAGGCTTGCTGTGCAGATCATTGTACCAACTGACCATCCAAGACACCAGTGCTCTCGTTTAACATTAAGTGACATTCTAGTATCATGTTATTTCAATGTTAGCGCTAATTAGCATGTATCGCTGTTTTTCTGGCTTGTTAGCTTAGCTAGTCATCTCGCTATCTAGCCGCTAACTGGCAAGCCCTGAAGTCCAAACACAGACAGAATTTAAGGAGATAGTACTTTTCAACAAAGGGCGTCTATGAGAGGTTGGAATATAAATATACAGCTTAACCACGTTAACGTTAGCTAAAATTAAGCAATGTAAGCAGTATGTACTTGACATTCTGGCAATGTAACGTAAAGGTAACATTAGTGCTAGACTAAAGTAGGTAAAAGTTATGTTACGTTAAAAAGTTGCAGACAGACTATTTTTACAGTCTATGGTTGGCATGTTTTCACGTTAACAAGGCTAGCCGACTGTCTGTCAGCAAAGCCAACACAAAATAAAATAAAATGAAAAACATTTACATCACTAAACATTAAAATTTCACCACCTCTAATTGGATGACGCTTTGAAATGCAACAGTAAAGCTCACTGAGTCAATGATGTGCTGGACTAAAAAGAGAGGCCTCTTGTCTAACATGTCTTATCTGGTTAGTTACCAGTTAACTGATGTTGGCCTATCAAGAGCAAAATTAAACTAAATGGACATCCCTACCTGCCAACCACACCACTGCGCAGAGGGAAGCGTGCATCTACTCAGAGGCTTGTGCTGAAGACAATGCAAGATGTAAACATTATCGGCTTGGCTGAGATGTAATGTTAGCTAGCTTAGAGGTGCTAGGTGAGCTAGCAGTAGATGCATGCTTCCTTCTGCGTGGTTATAAGTTTAGCAGGTGTAGTTTGATTAAAAGAAAATAGTTCCCACATGATTCATCCAAATGTCACTCAAAACCCACACGTCAACCTCGTGGTGGCACTAGTGTAAATCAGGGGATCATCAAAGTCATGCGGACTTATCATCTGGGGACCATGAACATCTGTGCCCAACTAGATGTGGTGATATTTCTCAGAATGAGTGGAAAGTTTGGCCTGCTGGTGGCACTAGAGAAAAAGTCAGGGGATCACCAAAGTCGTTTCATCGTGTGGGGACCATGAACGTCTGCACAAAATTTCATGGCAGTAGCTGTTGAGCTATTTCAGTACGGTAGTTAAATGGACCAACACACTCACTGACTCTGCCGTCCCTGGAGCCCTGCAGCTGGTAGAGCTAAAACCAGGTTGTTGATAGCATGTGAGTGAGTTAGAAAAATGTCTGGATAAATATCAAAGTCCTTGATTGCGATCAAAGCAGCTTCTTGGACAACTTGGGAGTGAGAGTGGATTTTGAAGGCAACACGAATGAGAGAGAAATAGGCCTATCAGTGTGTGAGGTGTCTAAATGGGAGCCAAGTGTGTCAGTGGATATTTTTGGACAGCAGTGGCGGAGGGTCTGGGAATACAGCCATCAGTGGTGATCGGCTTGACCCTTGCTTGTTATGTCTGTGTCGGAGAAAGCACAGCTGCTTGGTGAGAGCCAGAGGGTCATGGCTGCAGTCTGTTTGATCTCTTTTACTGATGATAACAACCTCTGATACATCTTAATGCATCCAAACTTCAATGTCACTTTCTTTTGAGTCTTAGAAGTGAGAAGATGATTAATGCCTTTGGTATCTCAATGCTGTTTTCTTTTGTTGAAACATAATTTAAACACATTTATGAAGGAGTTTTGCAGGTTTTCCACATCCATGCAGCTCAGAGCAACCTTAAGTTATATCTTCACACACCAGTAACAATGCTTCTTTCAGTTACTTTAAAAAATGATTAACTTCTTTATTAAGCTATGTATTATAAAGTAATCACAAGCAATAAAAATAGACAACTTTATTGATTAGTTTGATTATTGTCTTCAGCCCAGAGCTCAGTAGTTGTGCATGATTCAAGGTGAGTTTACAGTCCAAGGCTCACATCATTTTAGCAAACATGCAGTATCAAGCATGCCATCATGTATTTCAACCACATCATTTTTTTCCCTCCACACATCCTGATTGTTCCTGATGGTACATGGTCTAAAGCAAGCTGAAGCAGCACCACATCTTTGCATAGATGAAATCAAAACCCTACCTGACATTAGCTGTTTTGAAATCTATCTTGCAAAACCTCAGAGGAATATTGTGCTTATTTCTTTGCTTTTCTGGACTTTTTTATTGGCCCTGAATTTTTTTCTCCAGACTTGCAGTGCAGAAGTAGCTCTTCATGTGATAACAAACATACAAGGGTTAAAAAAATCAAGTCATACAGTGCTTGTGTTAAAGATGGAGCAAAATTTCAAGTAAAATGTCCATATTTCATACAAATCCAGTGTCAGACAGGTCAACATTCAAATCTTGTATGCAGGCTGGAAATCTGAAGCTCAACAAAATCCAACTCATATCTAACGTAGCTTTTCAAACCTTAAAAACAACCTGGCAAATGTGGGTTTTTTTTAAGTGCAAAAAGTAATCAGATTCAAAACTAATCTGTAGCACCATTACTTGCTTTAGACCACACATGGATACACATGAAATGCACTGTATACATAGACTGAGAAAAAAACGAGAGCACTTTAGTTCCCATCATTAACACAGAACATGTAACACACATGAAACATGTATCTGAGTCGTGACAAGATGGGCACAGACTGTTACATGAATGTAAGCAAAGTAAGACTCATGGGTGAGACTGAAATAAGTTAGAACGTCACAATGAATAACAGGATATTTTGCATGTGCATATCATACAATGGTTTAAAAAAACATGGTTTAATCCTGTAAAACATTAAAAGTAACACAGAGTAACATCTGGATGTGAGACTGGAGCTGATCATCAGAGAAATCCCAGCGTCACATCCCTGTTAATCCCCATCGTCACCCCTTTTACACATATATAATGCATTCATGACAAAAGACGACAACTTTCTGTATCTTGGCTCAAACATTCATGTTTTATCGAGACATTAACGTAACATGACTCTGACCAGACTTCAGGCTCAGTCACGTCGAGGCCAGAGGCCGCAGGAGCTCCAGCTGGGACTCCAAGGTGACCCTCTCCTGGTGAACCACCTGCAGGCAACCAAAGAGAAAACATGACCTTTGACCCCTGCACTCTGAGCAAGACCAGCACCTCAGGCAGTAATTACAGTATTTGTTTTGTTTGCCATGGTAATGATGGTCTAGCTCAGTGGTTCCCAACTGGTGGGTCGCGGTCCAAAAGTGGGTCGCAGGCCCACTCTGAATGTGCCACAAGTGACTTGCAAACGTGTCAAGTTTGTAAAAAACACACTTTTTTTTATGTACAGTAAATTTCTGGCACAGAGCTTTTATTTTAAAGTGCCATTTCTTGCTGTAGAGTCATTGACTAACGGACAGCTACCTAAAAGAGACAGCAAACTAGCTCGACAACATGGCCAAACACAAGTATGACATTGAACATATTAACTGTGAGGACCATGAACTAGTGACTAAGGAGAAATCTGGACACTGTGGCTGGATCAGCTGGGAACCACTGGTCTAGAACAAGATGAATCACCTTAAGTGGCCAAAATATGAGTGGGACAGAATGAACAGAATACAGTTACTCCCCTATTCTCTGAGTTTTACCAATAATAAGGCTAAAAATTAAAAAAGAAAATGTCCTGATGGTCACGCTAGGACAGGGTCAGCAACCTTAGGTATGGGCGCCAGCAATGGCAAGCAGTAGTTTAACCAATGGCACACTAGCAATAAGTGTGCAAGGGAGTTTATTGGAAATATTGAAGTGCCGTCTTATCCACGAGCAAAATGAAGCTCAGCGTAAGTTCAATCAGGAAGACTTTCTTTGTGCTCATCCATTCACAATTCTCTCCATCCCACTCCTGCTGCTTCCTCCAATCAGCAGACGATAGGCGTTCACTCTTCTAGTTATCCCATCAAAATTTGTCACGATCTTTATCAGCCAATCAGGATGCTACTGCAAAAATTTAAATCTGCGGGGTGTCGGTAGCGCAGTGGATAGTGCCGGCGCCCCATGTACAATGGCGATGCCTCGCCGCAGCAGTCGCAGGTTTGACTCCAGCTTGCAACCATTTGCTGCATGTCACCCCCCCACTCTCTCTCTCTCTCTCTCTCTCAAAAAAAAAAAAGTTTAAATCTGCTCTCTCCCCTGCTGCTGTCAGCTGTTGTTATAGGCAGAACTGTCACACCCTCCTCCAGCCATCGTATCAGAGTCCAGAATGAGCTCAACAAAGGCTCATTCCTCTACTCATCCAGATCTTCTCTACCTCTACCACCACCAGCGTCTAGACCCAGGGCGGTGTTCCCTATTCTACTACTGATTCATCACCCTCCTTAAATATATATACCATCACAATGGGGGCACTTAGACACCATTGAGATTGTATATGTTGTAGAAGCATATAAGTGCAGTACGTGAAATGGCCATTATCGAGGAGAAGCTCCTGGACCAACTGGTGGTACTCCCCATGATCCATCCTCTTTATTAGGGTCTCATGTACCAACACAGATCTCTGTCTGAACTAGCTACTAAATACTGTGAAATAAATAAAATAGAATAAAAAAATAAATGGTAGATGGATTACAAAGGAAGGTTAAGATAAGGAGGTGACGGGGTTGTTGCCTTGCAAAAATAAAAAGGCACAGTGAGTGTTTTTTTTTTTTTTTTTTACTAGTGGCAAGTGGCTTTTGCACGTTTGGCAATTCTGTGTGATCGGGGCCTAAAATGGCCCCTAACGTTCATCACAACCCGAAATATAAAACTGATGCAAAGACATTGACTTTCTGGGTTTCACCAGTGGGAAACTGAGGGTGGCACGAAAGCAAAGGTCACAAGGTCAATTCAAAGAGCAAACTCACATGGGATGGATTAAGGTGAGAATGCAGAATATGCACAGTGTTGATATGTGACGTCTACGTTCTGTCCCTGTCGCTCCCCAAAGGACAGCATCAAGTTCTGCATGGCAGGGAGCGGGGGGTGACGATATTAACTGTCATGGCGTGGCAGCAGGAGAGTAAGCAGAGTACTGACGGCTCGAGTGCACCACCGTGATGACAGGGGTGTGTTATAGATACACTATATATTGCAGTGAGAGTGTGACATGTGAGTGTGGCACAGAGTCAAGTAAACAGCTCACAAGCTTTTCCTGTTTTATTATTTGGTAACGATGGTCTATAACAAGATGAATCCCCGAAAGTGTAATGTTCATTACACCCTCAAATATGAAAGTGTAAACAGAGTAAACAGCACACAAACATTATTCTACAAGTGTGCAGTGTGGGTTTAACTGGTTCTAAGTGCTTGATTCAAAGCATGTTTTGTCCTATTGTGGTTTTTCTTTGTGATTTTGTTTGTGTTTTTAAGGCTTGAGGGGGTGAAAGTGTCTCTATCCTTAATCTGCGACTCTTCAGATTTATCTCAGGACCCTTTGGGGCGTCCCAAACCCCAGGTTGGGAACCAATGCACCGTATAAAGAGTCCAAATGTCTAAAATGAAAAGTGTTCAGTACGCTTTCTTCTTCAGAGCAAGAGTAAATAACTAAGGTTGGATTAAAGGGCAGAAATTGTCTTTAATTCAAGTGTTAGTTGAACTTTAGGGGAAAAAGTCAAGAGGAGCTGTTCCCTCCATCCGCCCTCCTTTCTTTCCTCACACACCCTGTTGTCGTTGGATGCCTGACCAGCCTAGGCTCTATTTTGAAGAAGACAGTTGTGAATGCCAGTAGCTGTTTGGTATTTCAACAAGGCTGGAGTCTATATAAAGACACATATGCCTTTCTCTGCAAAATTCCACAGATGCCTTGAAGAAGCAGCAGAATTAGAGCGGATAAACGACATCCTAGATTACGGAGCACTAATGAAAGACGGATGTCATTATAGCAGCTTCAAAATGTCTATTCTGCCTGTTTTATTCTTCAGTGTCTGTTGTATTAAAGCTGTGAAAGCGCTGCATATGAGCGTGAGGGTTTCACTGCCGGATCATTTACGAGGAGAATGACAGGCATGCGGCATGTGTTCCAAATGTGAGTGCGTGTGCCACAGGCAGATCTCCAATGCAAACAGCTAAGTCAGTGCCATTAGTTCAGCTATGAGTGATGGGTCGGGGGAGCAGACGGCTGAGCTCGGAGCTTTTCACCACGTTGGACCAATGGGAGCATTTGTTGTCGCGCTCATTTGAGAGCGCGTAGGATTCAACGTCTGACACGTGATTGAAAACTTGTGAAACAGTGTTAACAGGGACACTTCCACGCTCTCATGCTTGTGGTGAACATGCAGTGTGTAAAAGTCCTTGTCCTGTGATGGAGCATTCTTTGTGTCAAGCATGCACCACTCCAAGAGCTGTGGAGCTGGTTTTCCCGTTTCACAGAGTCCCAGAGGAGGCGGAGGGCAGCAAATGTCAGAAAGTCACTGTGGTCAGGCAGCCACTGATGTCGTCCACACCCGCTCACATAAGAAACACACTCTCCCTCAGCAGGATACTATATACATAGTGTGGTATGGCTGCATCTACAGTGTGCTGTGCTCTGAGAAACAGAAGATGTGCTGACCTTGAGTTGCTGTTGGAGCTCGCTATTGAGGCGCGTCAACACTGCATTGGTTTCCTTGTTTTTGCGGATCGCCATCTGGATCTCTCTCTTCTGTTTGGACAGCAGCCTGAGAGACAATTTTATCCACTTTTATCAGATTTATCACATTTTCTAGACGGATAGAGAAGTGTAACATAACCGACCTTGTTCAGAACTTCAAGGAATACCTCACCTCCCAAATGACCATTTGTACATAAAGTTCTCACCCCAATAAATAAAAGTCACGTGTTGGTTGTACTTTCGTCAGTGAAAAGAGGAACTGCAGTGGTCAGACGGACAGACACAAAGAGGTGTAAGGAAGAAAAATAACAGCATGCATGATTGTATTATGGTTGGATTCCAACACGGAACATAAAGGATGGGTCGACAGACGCCACTCGTCAGGCTCGACAGGAGCGCTGCTAAGATAAGTGGCTCCAAACAAGACCTTCCCCAGTATGGGAGGTTAACAGTGGAGAATTCCTGATCATAGAGGTTCAATTTAACAACAGCAAAACTATATCAAAACATCAATTTACAAACTCTCACACAACTCGTGCAGTATGATCCAAGTCTCATTTATCCAGTCGTATGCTCAGTACTTCCCAAACAGACACTCCTTTTCGACGGGGAACTAATCTGAAAGTCACTTATTTAAGCTCTCTTCAAAGCCAGACTCCATTCACAAAAACAGCAATTTTACCTCGCTGAACACAGGAGCTGCTGGTTTACCTCTGCCTCGATCACTTAGTTAGTGTTGTTCTGTGACTTATGTGTTTTCAAGAGTTAGTTAGGATTCACCAAAGTCACACAGTAACACAAACTAACTGATCAGTTCTGTTCAATGAGGTAAAATTTATGTTTTGTCAGTGGAGTCTGGCTTTGAAGATAGCATATCGTGAAACTTCAATTACAAGCCTAGTCCCAATTAGAAGCCTAGTCCCTTTTACCAGCCCGGTGTAGCTACATATTTTGGTAAATAAATGCCTGACTCAATTAGAAGTCTGGCCTGGTTGCCAAAAAGTTCATTGTTTTTAACAGAAGTTCTTCAAATGTATAAAACTGGGTTGTTGGCTTCCTAAAATTATGTGTCCATTTCTAGATTACCCTGTAAGTAGTCTCACTCACCAGACCTTTCTCAAGAAAAGAAAGGTCTCGCTGGGCCGACTCTCACTTTAAGATTGGAGAAAAAAATGCCCCAGCTGCTTGTATTTCTTTCAACCAATCACAATCGTTCTGGGCGGTGCCACAGCAACGGTGCGCTTGCAAAAATATTGCCAGGGGGGGGAAACAGGTTTTGGTGTAACACGCCCACAAAATATCGCCTACAGGACGCGAACCATGGCAGAAAAATGGCTACATCCCCGCAAGATCAAACACCGCAAAAGTTAGTAAAGGACGTGTTGAAAACGGTTGAAAACTGCTACACAACCGGAGGTGGTAGGGCGGGACTTCAGCGGGTGGCTCGTTCCGCCCAATGAGAGGCTGATGTATGTAGCGAACTTCCGCCCACTCAGACTATCCTCTAAGTTATTCATATTCCTTTAGTCTGTAAGAGTCCTCGAATTAAAAGAGTCAAAAGGGTTTAAAATAAAATTTAATTCAAGTTGTGAGTATTGTTTTAACAGGATAAAGTGGTGATGTGTTGGTATGCTGGGTGCTGTAACTCACTCTCTGATGCTCTGTCTAATGATTCATAATTGATGTTATCTGAAGCCTAATTTCTATACGTAATATTCATACTGGGTTAAATAAACGATTTGATTTCCCGATTTTCACTGAACAACAACCTAAATATCGGCCTGCTGATTTCAGTGATTTAAGCAAATAATGGCCTGGGCTATTAATTCAAGTTTTACAGTAGATAAGTTTCACTGTCTGTTCAGTTCCCTGTCAGAAAGGACTCTCTGCTGGGGAAGTACTGAGCATACGATTGGATAAATAAGACTTGGATTATACTGTGCAAAGGTTGTGTGAGAGTTTGTAAACAGATGTTTTGATATAGTTTTGCTGCTTTAAACTCAGACCCCTGTGACATTAATGCATCAAGAATTTTCTCAGTTTCTGGATTCTTTGTTCACTGGAGACGTAAGAAAGGTTTTCTTAGTGAATTCAACATTACACAGGGTGAGTATTGACTGATGGTCATTTGAGGGTGAAGTATTCCTTTAAGACAATATACAAACATAACACATATCCTAACTCCTGAGCCATCTCCATTTCGTTCACTGTTATTTGGGTCTAAACACAGTAAAGGGACGGCTTCCTGCACTCAAAGACAGTGGACACTGAAGCGATCAGATCAAAGCACTGAGGTTTGACATCAGTCAACGAGTCACTACCAGCAGTCACCACTGTTATTGATGACAGATACTTTCAATGAGTCGTGTGGTCAACAAGGAGACAGGAGCACACATGTTGGAGTCATTACAGTGAGTTAGGGTGTGCCTCAGTGTCTGCTGAATTCCTTTTTCTGGATATGTTTCAGTGGTTAACAATCACCTCAAGGCACACCTGCATTTATATGTGTGCACTATAGCTTCTATAACGTGTGTTATCACTCTTATCACGACATAAGACAATAGATATAAGAAAAAAAATTGTATAGCCCTGGCCGAATATTGCAATAATAACGACACACCTATGGTAAACCATTTGAGAACCTCTGCCTGACAGTATGTACAATTAATAAGGTCTTTAACCTGAATTAACTGATTGTTTTAGCCACTTGGGGGCAGCGCAAAAAAGGTACAAACACAACACTGACACCTTATAAAGCTGATGTGGCTGTAATTCTAAATATTAAAAATACTGATTCTGGCTCACATAAACTTCATCCACTGCTACGAGTTAAGATATTTTGGGATTAAAGAGTCAACTGTTTAACTGACTTTTGAGCAGGTTTGGTGGGCGTAGGAAATGGCATGGCAGGTGGAGGTAGCGTCTCCAGGTTCTGGCTCTCTGGGTGGTATTTCCTGCGGACTGGCTTCTGTGGCGGCTGACTGTGAGAGACTACGATCACGTCCTGAGGGAAAGTTTCAGAAATAAAAGTTGGTCTCCTCACTCTGATAGAGACACAGACACTCATAAAGTTTGCAGTTCAGACCTGTTTCGAAGCATTCGTCAGGTCTTCAGTACTTTGTCCAAATCTAGAGTGCGGCCCCTGTTCCTCAGATTTCACACTGCTCTCCTCCTGCAACACACACAAAAGCCAAAGCATGAGTAAAACTACACAAAAAGATTTGCAAAGATGCTGGCCACTTAAACGTTACGATAAAATATATCTTCCTGGTGTTGATGTCAAGATGAGGTGAAATAATATGAGGGAGCTGCTAAAGAGGCAGGATGAAATGTGTCGGCCCTGACCCGGGATAAATTAGCACCTTCCCTGCAGGGACCACGATCTAGTGCTCTCCTGCTGCAGCTTCCTGCCTGCTCAGGGGCAGCCATGATGGATTAATGTGCTTTTATTGCATCTCCTTGCTGCATTTCAGCCATTATTCTCCTTTAGACATAATGTCTAAAGTATCCCCACCTGCTTTCATTCAACAGAGGTTAACAGTGCAACAATGTGAAGATAGAGCCAACACATGAAGGTCAGTTTCTTCATTTTAGCTCAAAGATTAGTTGTTAAGAAAGTTGAATGCATTTCTTACCAGGCAGCACCTTTTGTTCTATTTCAGCACTGCATCATTTCCCATCTGTTAATGTTGGATTTAGTGAATTTGATCCACTAATTTCTATGGGCTGCTGTCTCCATTGCGGTGGCAGCTGAGATGCCTGGGCTCTCCTGATGGTTTAAACAGGCTAATGCCGCTGCTGTAAATTGTACCCAAGAAACCTAAAAATCCATTTTAGCTGAGCAACGCAACTGACACAAATAATGACCCTGAGATTCACTGCACCGCTGGATGTGAAACACAACCACAGCATGGAAACATTTAAAAAAAGGTAGCGTAGTAGCTGCTGCAGTGGCATTAAACCACAGGAGCTCCATCAGCACTATGTGTGGTCACAGCAGCCGTAGGTCACGGCTCCTTCAATCCAGCAATGTACGGGCTGAAGAAATATTGTCACTGTCACACAGACTTTACCACTAACTGATAAAAATAAGAACAAACTAACACAAAGCAAACCAAACCGGGTGAAATAAACTTATAGATACTAAATCTCCCTGTGGAGCAAAGAGTGAAGCCAGCAAACACAACAGGAGGAAGATATGAGTGATGACCATCCAGCTCACTGTCTGAACGTATTTACATGTCAATTTCTCCTCTCTCTGGAGGAGACGGTGGGCCTTGGTGAGTTTGGATAATAGCTGGACTGACGGATAATGTGTATTCAGCTCTGCTGTGCTTTGGAAAACAAAACAAAGATGTGGCATGTAGGTCACAACTGCAGCAGCGTCGTTACTGGCTGCCCGCCCAGCGTCTCACCAACTGACCAGCTGTGGTCACTGGAAAAGTTCCTAGTTTGGAAAAGCAAAGTGAAGTAAAGTATGAATAAATAAAGTGAAATGAAGTTCAGAGAAGTCAAGTGAAGAAAAATAAAGGTTAGCAAAGTAGTGTGAAAGTGAAGTGAGGATCTGCCCTTGCAATATTCATTATTTTTAGGATGCACTGATTTTAAGGCAAAGTGTATGTTTGGTGTTTTGATATCTGCTCGCAAGAAAGCTCTCACAAGGCGCTGGCAGCCTCTTAAGCCCCCCACAACAGAGGAGTGGATAGATATTGTGATATTTATGTTATGGAAAAGACGACTTTTTCTCTTCAGCTTCAGACATATGTACGTAAAACCCTCACAGCCTGATTTTGTGAAGGTATCGTAAAGAACTTTTTCAATTTACATCCACTAAAAGGTTTTTTTGCCATTGACAGGCTCAGACTGTTGTTTTTAAGTGTCTGACAACATTATAGAAAGGATCCCTACAGAGATAGACCCCGTCATCCTCAAACCCACCAGACTCCATTTAAATAAACAGTAATTTTATCATCATAAAACACACTTAATTCAAGTCAACAGAAACAAAATAAAACTCACAAAAATCATCTTGGTTTGTCTTTTCACTGTTCAACAATCACCAACTCTGGTTTGGTTGAAATTAAACCCTTAACTCACCCAATTACATGTGAAAATATGCCGGCTCTATACACGCTAAAATTACTGTTTATTTAAATGGAGTCTGGTGGGTTTAGCGATGGCGATTTTGGGGCTGTCTCTGGTTTAAAATAGGATCTTACTCTTTAACCAAAAGGTCTATCTCTGTAGGGATCCTTTCCATAATGTTGTCAGACACTTAAAATAATATTCTGAGCCTGTCAGTGGCAAAAACAAACACTTTTAGCGGGTGTAAATTGATGGTGCACAATTGCCAATTCTGTCAGACCCAGACCCAGAACATGCTGGAGGGATTACATATCTCATCTGGCCTGGGAACGCCTTGGGGTCCCCCAGGAGGAGCTGGAAAGCGTTGGTGGGTAGAGGGACGTCTGGGTGCTTTGCTCGCCTGCTGCCCCCGCGACCCGGCCCAGAACAAGCGGATAAAAATGGATGGATGGATGGATGGATGGATGGACAATTGCAGATTTATGTTACATTGCAGCCTGTTTCGCGGGGGCTGGCTTCAGTGCTCTCTCTCAATACTGGATCAATTTAAAAACTGTTGTCTCCATTCATTACTGAGACATAAAAGCATGGTAAAATAGGGTCCAGGTTGCAAATTACTAAAGCTACCCTTTAAATGAAGTAAAATACAGTAAAGTGAAGTGAAGTCTTAACAAGTCACGTGAAAGTTACGTCTTTGTCCTTAAAACTAGAATGAACTGAACAAAGAATGAACAGTATATACGTCTACACACGAGGCTGTTTTCCATTCACCATAACTGCACACTGAACTGATCCCAAGGGCTCCCTGCAAATGCTGGTATCAAATATTCACCCTTAACTTAAGATTGACATGTTTTATGTTGAGGAAGCTATTTTTAACCGTGCCCATAGTTCACTCATGTGTCTCCGAGGGGTTTGGGCTGGTGTGAGTTTCAGTTTGTCTCACTAAGTGAAAAATATAAGACTGGGCACCTTTGGGATCATCCAGTCTTCTAGGTTTTAATTAGGACTAAGTAAAACATCCTGTGGGGAGACAGAGAAATGGTGATACTGCAAAGGCAACACTAATGGAAATGGAGAGGAGGTAAAGATAGAGGAGTGAGAGGGTACGTCTGCTGGATTCAACACACACAAACCACCAGTGATTAAAAAGATGAACTCAGTAATGGAGGAAGGATCTGAGGGATTATGTGACTTCCTAGATAAGAGAGGAAGGATTGAGCTGCAGGAGCTTTTGACCTTAAAGGGACAGTTCACCCCAAAACAAATACACATATTTCTCCTCTTAACTGCAGTGCTATTTATCAGTCTAGACTGTTTTGGTGTGAGTTGCAGAGTGTTGGAGATATCAGTCATAGAGATGCCTGCCTTCTCTCCAGTATAATGAAACTAGATGGCGCTTCATGTAGGAACTATTTTCTTTCTACTGAACTACATCCACCAACTCTTTCACCGCACAGAAGGAAACATGCATCTACTCATGGACAAGAAGCTCGTGCTGATGTAAACATTAATGGCGTCCTCCTCAGCTGAGCTGTAATGTCAGTTAGCTCAGTGGTGCTAGGTGAGCTGGCAGTAAAAGCATGCTTCCTTCTGAGTTATGATTTGGTAGAAAGAAAATAGTCTCTACATGATTTCCTGGTAATCCATCTAATAGTTGACAAGAGATGACACTCAAAACCACAAATGTCAACCTCATGGTGGCGCTCGTGTAAAAGTCAGGGGATCATCAAAGTCATTAGGATTCATCATCTGGAGACCATGATTATCTGTACCAAAGTTGGTGCCAATAGATCTCGTAAATGTTGAGATGTTTTTACAGGACAAGTGGAAAGTTTGATCTATTGGTGGCACTAGAGAAAAAGTCAGGGGATCACCAAAGTCGTTAGGATTCATCAGAATCAGAATCCCGTTACTGTCATTGTCACAGATGTTACAACGAAACTGGTTGGGCAATCTATCCTCTATATATTTAAAATGAATAAAAAATCACACATACCTACATATGTAACCCACATCCATGTGCACACTCACCCACCCACACACATACACGCACACTTCTGAATAAAATCTACACACGCACACTTACACGCACACTTACACACACACACCCTCCCCAATCACCCAACCACACAGTGTATTGCACATATTCCCATGACCCACAATGATGATTGTCCAAAGTGCTTAGTAGAGGCTTGCTTGCTGGGGGTTAAGTTTTCAAAAGTCTGATTGCCCATGGATAGAAGGTGCTTCTAAGCCGGTTTGTCCTGCTCTCCAATACCCTGTATCGCTTCCCAGAGGGCAGGAAATTGAAGAGGCCATGGCTTGGGTGGGATGGGTCAGACAGGATCTTCTTGGCCCTGTTTAGCGCTTGCGTATTTGCTATGTCTTCCAACGAGGTCAGAGGGCAGCCAATAATTTGCTGCGCTGATTTAATGACCCCTTGCAGGACTTTCCTGTCCTTGGCCATGTAACCTGGGTACCTTATAGTGAGGCAGTATGTCAGCACACTTTCTATGGTGGAACGGTAGAAGGAACGCAGCATGTGCACATCCAGGTCACATTTCCTTAGCAGTCTTCGGAAGTGTAGCCTCTGCTGGGCCTTTCCGACTACCGCTGATGTGTTGGTGGACCACGTTAGGTTATCAGCCACATGCACCCCAAGAAACTTAAAAGAGGAGACTCCCTCTATCTGTAGTGGGGCAGGCTCAGCTCTCTTCCTCCTCCAGTCCATCACCATCTCCTTGGTTTTGCTGGCATTCAGCAGGAGGTTATTCGCTGAGCACCAGGCTGCGAGCCTCTGAACCTCCTCCCTGTATGCTGTCTCATCACCGCCAGAGATGAGGCCCACCACTGTTGTGTCGTCCGCGAATTTGACGATGATGTTAGAGTGCTAGAGGGGGGCACAGTCGTATGTGTATAGGGCATACAGGAAAGGGCTTAACACACAGCCCTGAGGCGAACCTGTGCTCAGTGTCCAAGTGGTGGATCCAATTCATCGTCTGGGGACCATGAATGTTTGGACAAAATTTCATGGCAGTAGTTGTTGAGATATTTCAGTCTGGGCAAAAGCAGTTAATGGACTGAAAAAATACCTTTATAAAACTCAGCAGTAATGTCTCTTTGCAGAAATCATGATGCAGTTACTCAAGATAATCCACAGACCTTGTTGTGAACAGCTTCATGGGACAATTGCCCTCTACAGAATTACACCCATCAATTATATCACCACGCAGAGGGAAGCGTGCATCTACTGCTAGCTCATTTGGCACCACTGAGCTAGCTAATGTTATAGCTCAGCTGAGGAGGACGCCATTAATGTTTACATGTCGCGCCTTCATGAACATGAGCCACTCCTCCAACATAAGATGCACGCTTCCTTCTGTGCGGTGAGGTTGGTGGGTGTCGCTTGGGAAAAAAGAAAATAGTTCCTACATGAAACTGCTCGCAACAAGGTCTGTGGATTATCTTGAGTAACCGGGTCATGATTTCTGACATCGCTGTTGAGTTTTTCAAACGTATTTTTTTGGCACGTTGAGCACCACAAGCCGAGTGCCATCTAGTTCCATTATATCAGACAGAAGGCAGACATCTCTACGGCTGATATCTGACTTGGCAACTCGCACCACAACAACCTAGACTGATAAATAACACAACAGGTAAGAGGACAATATGTTTTTTTGATTTTGGGGTGGACTGTCCCTTTTAAACTCCACCTGATTTGTCCAATAGGTCAGACAGGTGGTCGCCATAAAGACAGAAACCCTCTGCCAGAAGGACGGTCACATAAAAAAAAAAGAAGAGTTTTGTAAACACGTAGCGTTCCAATTGATTGATTAGATATGAACTACCTGGTAAAGAGGACACTACTACACTTCTTTACAAAGTGGGACTAATGGAGACATGAATGCATACCTGATGTGATTAAATTTGTGGAAAATCAACCACAGTGTGTCAGTACAGTTTCATAAGCAAACAACGGACTGAGGTTGGATATAAAACATGCACTGAATTGTTGTGCTGTGTAACAGGATACAGGTATATACCAAAAACTATAAAAACTGTCAGGAAAGACGACTGAAGGACAAAGAGAATGATGTGGAGACTAAACAGGCGACGTGTCACGTCAGCCATAAATATATCAGCGATGTATTCAGACTGAGCCGAGTTTGATGTACGCCGCTGTCATAACCCCTGAGTTCGTTTCTTGTCTTGAAATAGAGGCCCGTATATTTGACAAAGATGACCTCAGAGACGCGTTTACGGTGCAACATCTGAGATGAAGGGCAGAAAATCAGGGAGTGGAAAACGCTGACAATCTGGGAAGGAATTTTGAGTTTGCCTGCTTATATTTTTTCCCCCCTTTCACAGAGACAATTTGCGCTGCTGCTTGCTACATTTGCAAACCCCAAGACAAATCAATGAAGAAAATCTGATTTCATGCTCACCTCTTCTCTGAAGTGACTGAAGTCAGCAAAGTTTGGCTGCTGCACTTTATTCTGGGGAGTTTTCTCTGATACGGTGATAAAATGAGGAACCTGACAAGACAGATGAGAGGTACTGATTAGCAGAAGCATCATTAATTAATGAGAAATTGTACAGCTGGAGTTCGGAGGAACAACAAAGGCTTTGTTCACTTGATAAAGGAGGATTGCTGCCATAATGAAACCAGGCTTACCTGTGAGGTTGATGGTCTGGGAGGGAGGGCTGGAGGAGGCGGCAACCATCCACTTTTAATGCCTAAAATACAGATAAAATATCACTGAGCTGTAAACAAGTGTTGCTTACCTGTATTTTCCTCTCAGCAGCCACATTTCACTCTTCACACACAAATAAACCACCCATATTTTCATAATCAGACACCGACTTGCAATGTTATGAGCTTCTCACCTTCCATACTGAACAATAAAACCCACCCAGCTCCATTTCCCCTTTTGTTCTCCCGTGAAAGGAGAACTGTCGCAAACAAAACACAATAACTCTGTTGCAAAATGCACCGTAGCTCCGGGCGGTTTATGCTCTGAGCCTGCGTGTTCACACACTGATACTGTGAGAGGAGCTGAGTGGAGACAGGGAGAGTCCTGCAGATGGGAGTCGCACCTGGAGCGCCCTGCTGGAAGAGCTTGTTGAGGTCCAGCGAGGAGGCTCTGGAGTGGGTCTTCTGGGGTCGAGGTGGAGGAGTGGGAGGCTCTTCTGCTTTCTTCATCGCCTCTTCAATAGAGGTGCTGGAGTAGGACCTGGAGGTGGGGTCACATGGGTGGAAAACAGAAGTATAATGAGGTTAAAGAGCGACGTAGGAGTGCAGAGGACTTGTAATTCATGGGGTGATTTTCACCTCGGTCTAGTTTTTGTCCTCATGTTTGGGTCCAGATCCTGAGGCGGCTCTGTGAGGAGGGATACGTTAAATTAACAAAGGCACGTCAGACTTTTGGTCGTGTTTGAATGTTGTAAATGAGAAGCAACAACTTCCCTGTGGAACCACCCACTGTAAGTTCATGTGTGTAAAGTAGCTCATCCAACACTACATGTAATTTCAATGTCATTTTTTCACACCTGGACACAGTGTGCAGTGTGCTCACAGGATACTTTATATTTCAGCTTCTGTAAAAGGTCTGTCATCTGTCACTCTTAAACTAACCACATACTTTCACCAAATGTAACACGATTCCCGACACAGTGCAAGCACCAGGGGTCATGTGACACATGATGTGTGTGTTAGAGTGTGGATACCCGACCCGAGCCAAACCGGGTTTGGACAAATACAGTGGAACCCTCTTTAAGTGATCACATCTGTCCAGGTCAATTAATCATTTTATATAAGCAGATGATTATTATGACCCGATATTTTTCCTTTTCTTTATTCCTCTCGCTGGCATCTGTATCTCTATGTTTATTACATGAATATAAAGTAATGAGGGGCATCACATGAAGGCGTTTTCAACGCACTTGAAGAGGACAGCTTCAACCACAGGTGCTTTTCCTGTTTCGTTTCCTGTCTCCATCAGCAGCCATGATTGACTCAGGGTAGCCTGAGGGACACCATGTTTTACTGCTGCATCTCATTGGCTCAGTTTTCTCAGTTTGTCATGTCATAAATTACTCTTTAACCTGTCATAAATTCAATGTACACACAGCAGCAGCCTCAGGTGGTCAGCTGGAGGCAGGTGAGTTACAGCGAGACAAAGCATCATGGGAGTTAAGTAAAAATAAATTATATCTATATAGACTTACTGTAGTTTTAAACGCTTTTCATATGTTGTCATGCATGACAAAGGCCTAAAGTGGAGACAGTAAGCAGACTACTTGTTCACTTTAAGTAAATAATGTAACCATAAGTGCAGCACACATTATATTTTTGGGTTATTTTCATTACTATTGGGCACATTATTTATATTTTAGTAGAAATAGATTCAGCATTATTGAGTTACTGGTCATTTATAGTAGTTTGTGTATTGTTTCATTTGTATTTTCATGCTCAGTGTTTAAGTGGAGTCATTGTGTTCACTTGGTTATGAGCTGATTGGTTCCTACCTGCCCTTGTTTTGTGGGGACAGGTATGAGTGATACACGAGAGAGAGTGAGTGCCTCGTGCTTTACAGTGAAGAGAAGCTGCTGTACCCCTAAGTTGGAATGTGTTAGTGCTGTCTTGCTGTGTTGGTAAAAATTAAATGAAGAGAAAGAAACAAATGTTGTAGCCTGCTTATTACCCACAGCCTGGGAGAACTGGGGAACATTAACAATCAAGAAAAGAGGGTTACACATATTTAAACACTGTTTGTAGAGGAATAATTCTGTCCCAAGTTTTATGATCCATATCAGTGACCGATCACTGTAACTGTGATCACCGTAACTGGGTCCCACTGAATTTACAAATGATGTGCAGGTTTGGGCTAGCCTACTTTACATCATGCTTCAGGTTCTTTATATGAAAATATAGTGTAAAAAAAAAAAAAAAAAAAAACTATGGACCTACTGTCTGTGTTGGCTGTTACATGTTCACTTCTGGGGTTAGTTATTTACTTGACTTGCCAAAGTCAAACGATGCAGGAAACTCCACAGTATAGAGGCGTTCCAATTTAGTCATCAGTACAGATGATAAAGAAGCAGTTGGTTATGTAAAATGTAAAACCTGTGGGGCTCTGATGAGATATTACAACAAGACAACTGGGAATCCTGAGCCCACACGTGTGTAATCAGGGTTTACAGGCAAGCTGTAACTATGGTGACAAAAACTGCATGATAGAGTAACAAACTCAGTGCTTTAGCTGACAATAACTGCGTCAGGATCGGTCAGTATGGTCATTATCTGCTCTGGACTCAGTGTGAGGTCGTACAGAAATATGCGTCCCGAGCTGCACTCTACTGTGAATGAACAAATGATTCATTTTAATGTTATGACGTCAAAATAACTTCTAGTATCACCTAGCCTCTCAGGAAGTTGCAGAGTCTGTTTCTCTTGAGATGTTGCCACCCTCTTCACACCCACATCTGCAGACACAGTGATCAAGACGTCAGCAGCAGGACAACATACATGAAGTATTAATGCTTACAGAGTGCCGCTATCCCAGTTAATATTTCATGCAGAGCAGCGTATTTACTCAGAAGAAGTGCATGTGCCTTGCATCTGATGTTAGAATATGTCTTACAGTATGTCTCTCAAATTTTGTTTTGGAAATTGCTATACAAATAAAGTTTAATATTCATACTTATTTGGGCATTACTTGCTTGAATAAACTAGTAAACAGTGGATTTTATTTTACCTTGTTTACATGATTCCTCTCTCAAATCTTGTTTTGTCGTGGCGAGGCCTGGCTGGAGCCTCTCTATAATGCTCCGATCCTAAAAAAGAGAACGATACAACATCACTGCATGCAAAGACTGAGATAATTTGAAAAGTGTAGCGCATTTTAGGAAGAACAAGCATGTGCTCTAAGCTCAACATGTTGATGGGAATGCTCTTAGACTAACAGGGAGCAGCCTCATGTTCAGCTTATTAGTGCCCCCTACAGGCATCACAGAGGGACTTCACATAAACTTTTTTTAACTGGCATTGGAGTATCTACTTTACCATGTGACCAGGCCGTGGAACAGCATCATCAAACACAATAAGAGGCTCTGCACTCTGCAAACAAGCACAGTGTAAGGGGTTAATTCTGGGATAGGAGCAACCAGCAAACTACAGCAAAGACAAATGAGTCTGTGAATGTTCCAGATAAGAGATTAATGGCTGTTTCCCTTACCTCAGGAGTATCTGGTATGTCCTCTTCCTGCTGCATGAACCCTGGCTGCAGGGTTGGGGGAAGGCTCTCTGGGAGAGGGTAACCATTCTTGCGTGCTACAATCAAGTGAAAGGCTGTGCAGAACTCAGAGAACGTCAGAGCTCCATCTCGATCCACATCACTCAACTCCCTTAAAAAATGAGTTAGGAAAAAAAAAATCAGCAAAACCTGAAAGTGAAGCTGTAGAGTTAGGTCTGAAACAACAATCCTGATGAATGAATTCAGGTTATCACTAAATATGGTGTAAGAAACCATTTTAGTAACATTAGTAATCATTTCCCAATAATTTTATGTATGTTTTCTGGAAAGAAATATTGATATAATATTGATAGGAATTTTCTTGACAGAAAAGTTCAAGTAAATATTCACTTATGATTCATAGACAAATGTGACATTTTTCACAATATTTCCATGTTCTGCTGATCTGCTGTGCACTGACCTGAGCAACTAATTGCCTATGTATTCATTATTTTTAATTGGACATAAAATAAATAAATAAAAGAAGACAGTTTGCATTTTGTATATAATTTCTGCCAAATCACAGTTTTTTTCTGGAAACCTTACAGGAAATCACTAGAAAATTATTCTGAAATCACAAATAAAATGAAGTGTTACCACTATTATCAACAATTGTCAAAAATAAAGGAATAACTATGTTGGAAAATATATGCATTCTCTTCTTGCTGATCGATACCAATCTCAATTAGCATATAAAAACTAGAAACAGGGGATAAAAGCTAACCTAGCTCACTTAGCAGCACCTTTAAAGCTCCACCATAAAACCACAACATGTCGCTTTTAGATGTCTGTTTTTGAATGATTTAAAAAACTACATATTAAATGTTAAATTCAACTAACTAACATCATGGGGATAGTTTTGTGTTAGCCAAGATAGCCACAAGCAGTCGGTTAGCTTAGAGTAAAAGCCGGCAACACAGGGTAAAAGTTAGCCTGGCTCTGTCCACAATATGTTGCATTTGTTTTTAAATATATTTTACAGACTATATAGCCTACAGCTTGTTCATTAGCTAACATCAAAGGGGAGGTTTCGTGTTAGCTAAGCTAGCCAAGCTAAACACGAGCAGCTGGTTAGCTTAGCACAATGGCTGGAAAATGAGCAACAGCTAACCTGATTCCGCTCAAAAGTAACAAAAATCCACCAAACAGCACCTTCTGAACTCCCATGTAAAATCACAATATGTTTCATTTACACCTTTGTTTATCAATGTATTTAACAAACTATATAGCCTATAGCATAACACTAACTAGCTAACATCAAAGGGAAGGTTTCGTGTTAGCTGAAAGTAACAAAAATCCACCCAAACTCCACTTAAACCCACAATATGTTGCTTTTACACCTTTGTTTTTAAATTGATTTTAAAGACGATACACAGCGTGTTAAATAACTGACATCAAAGGGATGGTTTTGTATTAGCCGAGCTAACCACAAGCAGCCGGTTAGCTTAGCACATAGGTAAACAGCTAGCCAGGCTCTATCCAAAAGTAACAAAAATAGCAGTAGCACGTTTTAAACTCCCACGTGAAAACACAATATGTCGCCTTTACACCTTTGTTTTTGAATGGATTTCAAAAATTATACATAGCATTCATAATAACTAACGTAAAAAGGATAGTTTTGTAGTAGCTAAGCTAACCCCAAGTAACCAGTTAGCTTAGCACAACAGCTAGAAAGATGGGGTAACAGCTAGCCTGGCTCTGTTCAAAAGTAACGAAAATCCAACAAGCAGCACTTTAAACTCCACAGTACAACCGTAATATGTCACTTTTGCATCTTAAAATGGATTTAACACGTGGCAGGTTAAATTAATTAACTAACATCAAACGAAAAGTTTCGTGTTAGTCAAGCTAGCACAGGTTAGCTTTGCAAAAAAGCTGGAAACATGGTGTTATAGCTAGCCTGACTTTGTCCAAATGTAACAAAATCAAAAACTCAAAGTGTAATGTCAAACTATTCCTTAAAATTGTGTGATAGAGATGTCGCCATATACTGGTATTGACAATAATGGTGACATTTAAAAAATGAAATATTGATATCATGTTAATACTACAGATAGTGTAAATAAACCCAGTATTTTTTAAATCATTTGTTTCTTTCCATTCTTGCTTTGTCCACCCCCACACCCCTACCTGATAAGGTAACAATGAATTACACTGAAAGAATTATTATCATTATTATTAGTATTTACATTTCCTGTAGATATTGCTATAATATCAGTACTGTTAGTTCTTTTGGCAATGATAAGCATGTAGTGAAAATCTGAACATATCTTCCCCATTACATTTTATTCTATTCAATCATTCTCGTTGTTGCAATGAATAAAACAGCTCCAAATATCCCTTCTGTTTCAGGATGAGAGGTCGTTGAAGGTCTGCTCCTGTCTGACTCAGTGTGCACGCTGAGGTGCTTGGCTGATAAACACCTAACTGACCCCAGAGCAGAACAAGGACAGACAGCACAGTGAGTCAGCACTTACCATATGTGGGAAAGTTCTGGTATGGGGAGCTTGGATTTTGTGAAGAAGTTCTTTGCAATGGTTCCTAGAAAAAAGAGTCACAAAGTGGTGACATAGTTTGGAGGAGGTTTTCAATTTATAAATAGGTGCAGCAGGAGGGGTGGTGGTGTACATACCCAGAATGAGAGCCCCCAGGTCAGGCTGCAGGCTCTTGAACTGATTAGTGTAATACTCCAGCTGTTCCTCTGTGATCCTCCAGGGGTCATCGTCAGAGTAGTCTACTGCTCCCTGCTGGTCCAGCCTCTCTGATGAAGAAGCCTGGGAGGATGCACAGAAATCATTACTTAAAGAGCTATACAGAATTATTTACATGAGCATAAAAGGTGTAAAACTCTAGGTTTACCCGCGCCATAGCAGGATGCTCCACAGTGGGTTTGGTCCCGTAGTTACTGGGCGAGGAATGCTGCTCCAGCTGAACGACCGGCCGTGAGGAATGTTTGCTTTCATAGGCTGAAGGACAGCAGAGAAAAACACGGCTGCAGTGGAGGAGAAACCTGAGACTAACACGCTGATTACACCCCTCAAAAATGTGATCAGAGAGAATGATAAATTTCCAGATCAAAAGACCAGGAGGGAGAAATCAGAGCTTCCCATTTTAGAGGACGCAACAGGTGTCAGAGATGCAGTAAAACCTCATCTTTTACATTTCATTTCTAATTTATTATACATGACTAGTGCAAGATATCTTGCAGTGCTGGTCCAGGGCTGCATTTCAGTTACCCACAGCAGCAATCATCGAGGAAAACACTTTATCAAAGAGACTACGAGCATGTGTGATGTGCTGAAAATGCTCCAAACACGCTGAATTAGAGCACTTTGCTAAAAAAGGACATTTCCCAGTGATAAACAGATACAAAGTTGTTTCTACCAACCCCAAATCGAACAGATGAGGTGTGTCTGCACTGGATTGGAAGTTGTCTTACCGAACTGTGAGTCAGCCCCGTTTCTCTGCTTGGCATACGGGTAGCCGCGGTAGGTCAGGGGGGATCGAGGTGGTGAAGTGGCCGGTGATCGTGGTGGGGACCAAGGTTCCTTCAGGGAGAGAATATTTTTATTTCACAAACATATGTTTAAGTGACCTCTATGCATATATTCCCAGAACAGATGTGACAAGTTGCTGGAAACTCTCCCATTAACATGACAGTGTGACGGGGTGATGTACTAATGCAGCAGAGGTAAATGTAACCTTAACTGAAGTCATTGCTAAGTACCTGTAGCTATCCTTTCATGGTGCAGTGCACTATCGGGACGGTGTGGTTATATGGTTTCCATTGCATCCTAACCACAAGGGCCCCCAGGATGCCCCTGTGCTCCAGTTTCGAGGGGATTACAAAACATTTTACAGGCATCTTAATCCTAATCTAAAAACAATGTCGTTTTGGGTTTTTTTTTGTTTTTTTTTTGGTATTTTTCGGAATGAGAATTATTAAATAGTACCCTGGAAATCCAGAGTTCTCGTGAGAGCACAATTTGAATTTGCTCAGCGAGTCACTCTGGCAATCAGTAATGATGCTCATTACCCATGCCCTTGGAGCCGAGCTGCACCAATCACATCGGCGTATCTGATATAGGCGGGCCAGAGGCGAGCTAAACAGATGACGACAGTGTTGCGAGACGAAGTCCGGAATCAGTCAGTAAACACTGCAAGATGGCTACGGATGAACACCAGTTGTTTGAAACGGCTTTGGCTGCTACAATGAACGAGTTAGACTTGGCTTTTTCTCTAAAAGAGGAACAGAAGACGGCGCTTGAATCTTTCCGACCGGATACGGCAAGAGTCTAATCTACCAGTTTGCTCCGCTGGTAGCTAAGCTCTGGATACGTCACCCCGTGTATTGTTCTGATTGGTCGTAGTGTTATCCAATTGCGTGCAGTGATATTTTCAAATGCATACTTGGTGCCACCCCTCGGCCATGTTGGGCCATTTGCATTACTCATAGCCAGACCCTAAATTTCTCTAGATTTGGGTCTGGTTTTCCAGGCTAATTAAATAGAGCAGTGGTTCTCAAATGGTGTGCCATGATACAAATCCAGGTGTGCCGTGGGATTTTGTGATAACCACACATTATTACTGCAATATTCAGCTGGGCCTATTAGGGTTGGGTCGGTTCTTGGTAATACCAGTTCGGTTCAGTACTCCGTCTTGGACCGTTTTTTTTTTTTTTTTTTTTGAGACCGACCGGACCGCATACGTCATTTTACGGCAGAAGGTATGCGGAGCGGACTCCATGGAAGTCCACCCGGACTAAAAGCGGACATCCGCAAGCCCTGTGCGTGCAAAGCTCAGATTTTAGAGAGAGGGGGGTGGGGCGGGGACTGAGCTAGGGGGTGCGAGTGTGCATGCGCCGAGGAGTCTACTGTAGCCTGGACAAAGGAGGCAACCCTTGTTTGCACGGACTGAGTAAGCTAAACCTGCAAATTTATTTGTAAGTTGTTGTCCTATGGTTGTTTTTTATTTTAAATGAGTCAATTGCGCCCCCAAGTAGCGAAAATCTGGTATTACCGGCTTGATGCAGTTTTTCACAAAAACCGGACCGTTTTTTTTTTTTTTTTTTTTCTAATAGAAAGATATCTGCTTGTTCTTAGCTGAACCAGTGTGATCTACATCAAGGTTTCTTTAGGTCTGTCCCTGTTCTGCATACTTATGGCCGGGCTGGAACCTTGAAGGAGGTTTGTCCTTCTCCTCTAATCTCTCAACAATGAGGCCTTTCTGCTCTGATGATTACAGCTGAGAGGAATGTCTTTGCTCAGTGCTTCAATCGACTCTAAACATTTCCTCAGTGGTACAGCACCCACTCAGTGCTGCTCTAATCTGAACAGTGGTCCATGCTTTAATCTGTAGAGTTTATTCTGTCAGAGAGCAGCTAGTCACAGTTGAGAGCTAGTTAGAAATGTCATCCCAAGCTTACCTTTCTCTCTACGTTGGCCTCCAGGTGTCTGAAGGTGCTCCTGTCTGCTGGAGTCCAGGAGACGGAGCCAGGTGCAGTCCCACACTGAGCCCCCTGAACGTCCATGCTTGGGGGGACCGTTGGGTATCGCATCTCTGCTTCATTCTTCAGCCCAGCGAATCTGGGCAGAGGTAGATCTAAAGGGAGACATGGGGATTATTCTTATGTCTCATTTACCACGTTATATTAAGATTTTTTCTTTTTAAGTCAAAAGAGGTATTTGAAGGAACAGTGTGTGAGATGTATGGGAATTTAGTGGCACATAACAGTGAGGTTTGCAGACTGCAACCAGCTGAAACTTCTCTCAATTGGAACTCTGTCAATGTTCATCATTCAGGAGGTTTTTTACCAGGAGCTGAATTATGTAACATGAAAACGTAAAAACACAAATGGCCCTGTCTAAATCCAGTGCTTGGTTTGTATGTCAGTTCTGGGCTACTGTAGAAACATGGCGGTGCAACATGGCGATCTCTGTATACCTGGACTTGCTCCCTGCGTCAATACAAAAGGCTCATGCTCATCAGGCTCATCAGTTGTTCTTTGGGACAAACCAGACTCTGACAACATGAATGGTCGCGGTAAAGGAGGCGCCAAGCGTCACTGTAAAGTTCTCTATGATAACATCCAGGGAATCACTAAACCCGCCATTCGCGGATCTACGAGGAGACCCGCAGTGTGCTCAAGGTGTTCCTGGAGAACTAAGAGGAAGACAGTGACCGTCATGGATGAAGTGTACGACCTCGGAGGTTAAATGACCTTCTGATCTCACTCTAAGGTAACGAAAGCACAATGACACTAAAAGAAACATATTTATTATATTATATTCCATTTCTACCAATATATCCCCCTAATTCCTGCACACTGGACCTTTAAGTCAAAAGCATTTAATATAAAAAAGGAGATTTCAGAAGTCTTGTCTGATCGGAGCTTCCTGTACGATGACCTTTGATACGTCTAGAATTAGCCTGAGGGAATTAATCAGGATGAGCGTCTTTTCGTGTCTCACTCTGCTGAGGTGAGCTACTACTAAACAACACCACGGTGAATATGAAACTCTAAACATACTTTTCTAATAATCCATCAACCTATTTGTGAAAACAGATTTTCTCTTGGCTCGGGGGTGTGACTGATTGTGCGCTCTTGTAATAAGGGCAAACCCACTTAGCCCTTTCCACGCGATTCCCCTTTCATCCAGATTAGACCAAATCCTGCCATGTTCAGATAATCTCCTGATCCCCTTTTGCTCTCATAAGACGCCTCCTCTCGGTGCAACAGACTTACTGGTCGTTACGCTCTCCAGGTGGACGGGCAGACCAGACTGGGCGGCCGCGAGCAGCTTCAGGGCCACGAAGAACTGAGGCGTACCAAAGTAGCCCAGACGTTTCGCTCCACACACCTCGGTCACCTGAAAGAGTAAACCATTTTTAGACAGGCTTTAACAATATATGATATTAAACCTCATCATTTCAACTGCCTGCTGTGTTTTCCTCTTTTCAGAAACATAATCCATAATCTTAAACATGTGATTATTTTACACCATGGTCAAGATAATGTGTAATACAAAACTACAGGCTCCTCTAACAGAGTAAAGCCAGAAGAAACCGTGTGTAAGGGATCAGCAGCACAGTGGGATCTGTTTATCCAGTACTCTTTTGATTAGAGGTACAATGACTGCTTTGGGGGAGCAAAGAAGATTAGGATTACGTAGGACAATGAGGGAAAATTCCCCAAAAATATAACAGAAGGAAATTTGGTTTTGAATAAAAAGAACTGTGTTGATGTGAAAACAAGCTCCTCCATCTGTGACATCACATATATTTGTCTCTTAAATACAGAACTGAAACAAGGCAACCTTGAATAACAGAAATTCCTCTTTGTCATTTAAGTATTAACACACACCACCTTGTACTGTTATACATGTGATGACACTCACTGACCAGAGAAACTGGGGCACTTTTGCAAAATGACGAGAAGCAGGGGGTCAGTTAATAATAATAATAATAATAATAATAATATTTATCAGAATATAAAATAAATGAATTGCCTATTTTCAACCTTTCTGCATCTGATGTCCACACTCATCTTTGTAAAAATGCAAATCCAGTGGCAGCAGCCCTGCACAGGTTAGGCATGCAGGAGTGTAAATCTACAATATGAGTACATTATGGGCTTAGCCTGGACCTCTGTCAGGGGGTCGAGGGGGATCCTCTCCCAGCCTTTTTTTGTTTTTGATAAACAATATATTTATGTACTCTGGCACCTTCTTTACATTCAAAGTACAAAATAAAAATTCCAGTGTGAATCAACTTATTTTCATAGCAAATCAGAGAATGGTCACCAGGCCGTGCATCACCTTATCGCAGTGGAGTTACGGCCCTCGCCCCTTACCTTAACCTTAACCATCATAACTAAAGCCCTGTTTCCACCGAGCAGTTCAGTTCACTATGCTTGTTTTCTGTTTCCACTGTGAAAAGTTGTGCATGGTACCAGTGGAACCATTACGTACCGTTACCGTTTTTGGTCCCCCCTCTGTTTGGGTACCTAGCACACAGATCTGGTATTAAAAGGTGGAGCTGTGAACACTGCAGTCTGATTGGTCAGTAGAGGACGGTCACTCTGCTCAGGACTGAGTTGTGGCTGGTTTTGTCTGAGCCGACTGCTGGGATTTTTAACCTCTCTAACTCCGCCAGGACGCCGATGTCCTCGCTCCCCTCCTCCTCTGTTAAATGGTATCTCCCAGGCGCACTCCGTCATCAAACCATGTGATGTTTGGTATTGCCAGATTCAGGAAGCTCTCGACTTTTCAAAAATAACATAGTTTTTCTTTTATTTATTATGAATTTCACACCAGAGCAGCCTAAACACACAAAGTCCAAAATCGCGATGAGTGGTGACAAGTCATGTCATGCCGTTTTTTGACGGGAAAAGTTAAAGGATTACTCGCGATCTTATGTGGGGCTGTAAGTGGGGACTTAGCTGGCTTATAAAAGGTAGGAGTCTCACTCCTACCACTATTTTTGGCTGAGATACGCCGTCTAGAAAGTGGGATCATAACTGTCACGTTTCATGTGGCTTTATTTGGTGATATTTTATGGTGTTTCTGTGTCAAAAACAACATCAGCTATCACAATCACCTGATTTCAATCATTACAATGTTAGAAACTGGCTGAGTGTTGTTTGATCACTGACAGTACTGTTTTGAAGCCGAGTGAGCGCTTTTGTCTCTTGGAGCTCCGCCTGGATCTTTTCATGGAAAAAACACTGTAGAATGGTCATACTTTGAGCAGTCTTCTTTGAATTTGAAACAATTGTTCATTGATAGTGTGCCTACAGCCCCATAGTGTCATTTACCTGCTCAGATGAAGCCACAGACCATTATTCATCCTGAAAAACTTCTTCTTTTTTTTTGGGCAAAATCTTCAATTTATTTGGTGACTTCAGAGGCCCATTACTCTGTATCACCTTGAGTGTTTCTGACATTTTCACAAGAAACTTCAGGGAGTTTTCTTTCTGGCAAGACCTCATGCATGCATGTAGTCAGAGCGGTTCAGAAGCTACAGTCATTTTAATTTGGGTATGTCATTTTAGGCGTTTTTGCCACAAAATGGGGGTGGAGTACTTAAGGTGGAACGTTAACTTGTAATGTTACTTAATGCATGAGTTCAATCAATCAATCAATTTTATTTATAAAGCCCAATATCACAAATCACAATTTGCCTCACAGGGCTTTACAGCATACGACATCCCTCTGTCCTTATGACCCTCACAGCGGATAAGGAAAAACTCCCCAAAAAAACCCCTGATGACATGATTTGATCAACACAACTTAAATATTCCAAATTACAACTTTGACCATTACTTTAGTTTTTATATGACATACACTTTTAGTAATGAGTGGATCTTAAAGCATTTATATGTATGAATTTCTGCCGGGTTATGTGAACTGCATATATTCTAATCCTCACTCTGAGGAAAGTAAAGGGTCACGGACTAAAGAGTTTTAATTTGTTCTGAAAATGTTGGTTCTGTGGACGATAAATGAGGTGCAGACTTCCATCTGTGTCACCGGTAATGAGGAAATACAGTGAGAGCTGGACGGAGCAGTGAGTGACAACAATCCCGCCCTCATTTAAGGGTACTGTTTGCGGTGGAAACACAAGGGTCTAGGCACCATGTCTGAAGGGTTACTGTTGGTTCCGAAGGTACCATACCGAAAGTGTTTGGTGGAAACCGGGCTTAAAAGCTTAAACCCAACCCTAACCCTAATTTAAATCTTATCCTAACTTGAACTTTAAAACCAAGTCTAACCCCAAATAGGCCTTTAAAGGTCTGTCCACAACTGCCAAACAGACAACCTCAAACTCCCAGAGGCTGCGGGGCCGTTGGCTTGACTGCTCTGTGCTTCAAAAACCATCAAACTCTGAGTGGACTTACTGAACTGTGCTTTATGTTCATCACTCCCCCATTAATGTTTGTGAGAAGAGATTTGGTCTTTTTGACAGTGAACTTATGCTCCCATTTCTTTCCATTTTATTAGAGTTCATCCACCTAATCGTAACTCTGATGATTCCAGTAACTCAGAAAGGCAAAACTGACTTTTATCATTATCATTAAAAGGCCTGGACACAGAGAGAACGACACATGAAGAGGCCCTGTGAACTGTTTTAGCTTCAACATGGAGGTGGTGACTAACAGATGACAAACCAATAGAGAAAAGCTGCTTTTCTTTTGGCAACAATGGATTAACGGTGCTTAAGACTTAAATGTTTTTTATAAACATACCAGATCCAAAAGTCCAGTTTTCTGCCACAGAGGAGAAAGAACATTTGCTGGTGTGTGTTTATGAAATATAAAATACAGGCGAGCTGTTAATACCCATTGTCTAATGAGGCTGAGGGGCGGGTGGAGTGCGTGTGGCTCACATCGCCTTTTGAGATATTATTTCTGCTTGACCTGCATTGTATTCATTGAACAGCTTTCACAAAGTGATGAGACCCAAAACAACCAGAGGCCAGAGAGAGGCTGAGCAGACAGACAGCGAAGGTCAGGTCTGCAGTGTTGGTGAGAGCACCTGAGGTCAGCACAGAAAGATGGATGAGATTATTTCAGGAACACCAGTGAAGGCCTTGAAGAAGCAGGCGGGCAGGTCTGGTCAGATCTATGGCCCGAGGGGGAGAGTTATTTAAGGAAGATGGAAAAATGCCAAAAACATTTCAGCGTGCATAATGTCATCACTGATATGACTGTCTGCATATTAATAAATCATCTGCCCCGGTGACTGTGTGGAATAAAAAAGAGGATAGCGCTGATTCTGCTGCATCGATTTGGATCCTTTTTTACCTGTCCATCGTGAGTCTGAGATTGTTTTAGGAGAGCCGTTCTAAGGGTGCTTTCACACCTGCCCGGTGTGGTTCAGTTCAATCAAACTCAAGTTGGTTTGCCCCCTCAGTGCTGTTCGTTTGGGCAGGTGTGAACACAGCAATCACACTCAGGTACGCACCAAAACAACCAGACTGAGAGCTTCTTGAAGAGGTGGTCTCGGTCTGGTTATAAATGAACTCTGGTGCGGTTGGTTTGTGGTGAGAAAGTGTTCCGACCTGGATCTGAACCAACTGCAGTCACATGACACATTGTTTGGGTTAAACATGAGCATGTTACAGTCCTGGAGGATTATTAATGTGCACCTCCTCCTGTACTGCCTTAATATGCACATTCAGCACATCCAATGCATCAAAACATTGTTTTCTAGTTGGAGCCGCGCCTCGTTTTCAAACCGTATGTTTTGACTAAAATGAACAATGACAGCAATATAGTCCACGATGAGCAGCGCTAAAATCAACCTGCGTAGTTGTCCCTCCATTGTGACATTAGAAAGTGTCACATTTATCTTGCAAGTGTACTCTTCTTCAACGTTTGCTTTACTTCCTGGATTTTTCCCACATGGAAATTCTGACCAATCAAGAGCAGCTTTCTCACACAAGGCATTTGATCTGGTCCGCTTGTAAATGCTGCCGTGAGAACACAAACCAACTCTAGGCAATTATACAACATTGGAACAAAATTAGTCCCTGATTCAGACCAAAGGAGACGACTCTAGGTCTGAAAGCACCCTAAATGAGTGGAGTACTTCTTTAAGGGGTCATCAGGATTCACTGTCTGAGAACCATAAATGTCTGAACAAGATTTTGTGCCAGTCCAGGTGGTAGATGTTCAGACATTTCACAGGATAAGTGAAAACTCTGATCTGCTGATTGGGTGTAGGATTCACTCTCTAAGAATTCAATAACAATCCATCCAAGAGATGTTGAGTTACAGTATTTCAGTCCTGACCTAAGTGGGTGGATCAACAGACTGACTGTGCTTGAGCCTCGCCGCAAGAAACAAAACAATGTAGTTGATTAAACAAAGATATAACATGTGTATCCTGGATGTGACAGCGCCAGGTAAAAATATATCTGAAACAAGGCCACACCTTGTTCAGCCAGACAGGTTCCACAGCAATGTCTGTCAACACAGCATTACATGTAACATGTGACTATAGTCAGCACATACCAGAGACTTCACCTTCAGCCTGACAGCTAACTCAAACAGACATTAATGAGTGGTTCAGGCACTTTCAACTCAGCATTTAAGCTTCCACACGGCCGCTCTGGCTGTTACCATGTTCACATTATAAAGCGTTAAAGGAAAAAACACTTGCTGAACACTGAGTCCATGAAATCAGCATAACAATTGATTTCACTGCAGAGTAATGTGTGGGAAGAGACTCCCGGCTTCAGTCAGTAATGACAGCTGAGCAGGAAGACGTGTCATGCTTTGCTACGTATCTGCTGTAAACACAGGCCAGACATATAGATCCTTCTCTGTAAATCTGGTCAATGTAGTCATGACTCAACAAAACACATCTCTACACACAGCTCCTTGTTTTGACAAACAGCAGAAAGTATTTACAGCAAAAACCATCTTGAATCATAGCATGACGTCTATGTCATCATAAACCCTGGAGGAAACGCACCATTTATGACTCTCTGATACTGTTTGACACAATGACCCAGAAGTCAGCGCTGAGTCCAAGAGTGATCCTGCAGGCATCCTGCAGCCGGGCCAAACACAGCTCAGAAGGCTGTGTGTCAATCACCCCCGTGTAGTGGCGGCGATCCAGGCCGGACAGGAAGGAAGCGGAGCTCAGTGCCAAACTTCCTGACACCCACACAGAGACACAATGGGCTGCGATCGCCGGGAGCTGACCCCCACGGGACTGTGAGTGGAGTGAATTGGAGGCAGCGACCTGCTGTGTTCATCTGAGCTGGAAAAATATGTTTATGTGCCTGTGATGGGTCAGCAGAACGCCTCTGACTTAGGAGTTCCAGAGCCAAAAACCAGAGCCAGGGTTTTTACAAGCTTTAGATCCCTAACTACAAATCAGGCATACTTCACAGCTCAGATGTTTTCTTTTAAATGCTGCATAGTTTTAGTTATTTAGATGTTATTTTTTCTCCTGCTCCTGGAAGACATTGTTTTCCATTCATTAATTTCTGTCACATTCACATTACTGTGGTGAGTTTGGAAAAGTCTGTACAGCATAACCTCAGACAAAAACATGACTGACAGAAATGAACGCAGACTTAAAGGTCCAGTGTGTAAAAGTCAGGGGGATTTACCGGCAGAAATGGGATTTAATATATAAAACATGTGTTTTCTTTAGTTTATAATCACTTGAAAAGAAGCATCACAGTGTTTTTGTTACCTTAGAATGAGCCGTTTATATCTACCTAGGGAGCGGGTCCTCGTCTACGGAGTCTGCCATGTTGCACTGCTATGTTTCTACAGTGGCCCAGAATGGACAAACCAAACACTGCCTAGGGCCATTCGCATTTTCAAGTCGGCCGCTGTCGTTAACAGGTTAGCAGATTAGCAGGTGCTAGGCTAGCGGCCCGTCTCCGACGACCCAAATAATCTTAGAGAAACACTAATTTGTACTGTGAAACTACTTGATTCAGTGTTTTTATTGGTTTAAATTACCTGGTCTGTTTGTTTTGAAGAGATAGAGACCTCTGAGGATAATTTGGGTCCCAGTAAAAACCTCCTGAACAATGAACCTTGAAGGATTCTTAACTGGGAGAATTTCAGCTGGGGGCAATCTGCAATCCTCACCACTAGATGCCGCTAAATCCCCCTAAATCTGACACACCGCTCCTTTAAAGTGACTGTATGTTACTTTGGTTTGACAGCAGTTATTGTGGCCACGAGTGACAATTACAGAACAATGATTTTGGGCTAAACCTTAATGTAAAAGGAGCACAAGAGGAGAAAAGTGAAGAGGTCAAGTGCCCTTCATACATTAACATCTTGCTAAAGTGTGCTACCATTTGCTGCTAACATAAACGCCTGGTCACACCAGACCAAATGAGGCTGTGGCAGCAAAACCGCTGAGTATATTGAACACAGCAAAGGTGCACTTTATTGCTTATGAACTTAACTTTTCATTTTTAAGACTCTGGGCTTATTTATGCTTAATATTAGATACTTGTTTGAACACTGATGGAGCCCTCTGTCTGTTCTCTGTGTTCATTTCGTCCATATTTGTGCATGTTTTCTGAAAACTTATGGATACCAACGAAACCGAGCAGTACCACCTGAAATCATGGAGCTGCATAGTGTTGCTTTAACGTTCTCTGTGATGGAAATGAATGGAAGACAATGGCTGCCTGGAACCGTAGAGTAGCGACTACTAAAAATGAGGCAGCATGATTTGCAAATTTGTTCTCTGTAGCGCTAAAACGATCGTTGATAGACAGATAATGAACTGCAACTACCTTGAAAACCAACGACAACATTGTTTAAATATTTTTTGTTGTAAACATTTTCTGGTCCCAACTTCTAAACTGTGAGGAGAGCCTGGTCTCACTGCGAAGTCATCGAAACCCAGCGCTTGGGCAGTGACATGCGGCGTCAAAAACCAATGAAAACCAACGGTGTCTTTGAACGTCGGCATGATTCGCGGCCTGTTACTGTTATAGTTTAACAGCGTCCAATGGTGTCAGGGGGAAACACGGTGGGACAAGGACGAATGTTAAGGCTGCGAAAGTCCAACTGGAGCAGGTGGGACGGGTGGTGGATGGGTCCAACAAACGCCGACTTTCACCCGAGAGAGCAGTGTTCGCGTCCCGTAAGATTTTAATGCCAAACCCTGTTCTGTGTTTTTGTTGTTGAAGGGGGGGAAAAAAAAAAGTCAAATTGCAGTGTTGTACCAACGTATTGCTTTTAATTTGAAAGAGACTGTATGTAAATGGTAAATTTCTTGTGAAAACAGAAGTGTATTTTGAAAGAAGACAAGGCATGTAACAGGCAGAACTTGACACAGCCTCCCAGAACGTCAACAACCAACACACCCAGGGTGCCTTTCACGTCCTATGTGGGCGTGGAAAGTTCATGACCAAACGTTGATATGTAACGATGTCGGAGTGAGGACCTTTCTCAGTTTTAAATCACTGTAAATTCAGTTTTGTAGGATTTCTGATTGTTTATCGGACAAACAATCTGAATGTTTCACACTAAGCTCTGTGAAATCAGACATTTAGCATCATTGTCCAACATTTTCTAGACAAAACAATCATTGGATTCATTGACAAAATGACAGTTAACGGTTAAGTGAATGTATTTAGTCGTAAAGGAGCTAAAATGCAGAACCACTGGTACGGTCCTTTAAGCAGAGGAGATTTTGCAGACTGAACTCTTGCTGGCAGGTGAGTACAACACACACAAGAACTTTCTGCCTGTAGTAGTAAACAAGCTCATCATGAATAACATGAACTGAGCTAAGAAGGATTTATAATGTGGACAACTAGTGCACACAAATTAGACATCTCTAATTTATCTTTCAGCTAAAACTCTAGCTCTGAGCCTCACTGTAAAATATGTTCTGTGGTGCTACAGATGCAGGGAGGGGACATACAGACAGATGTACAGCTAATGCAGTGATTGTAAAAGGACTGCCCTGCTGTGTGACAGAGGGGTGAAAGAAAGGAGGTGTGTAAAACCTCCCTCTGACACCACACACACACACACACACACACACACACACACACTATAATAAATACACCCCACAGAGCTGATATAATGGCTCCTAATCCTACATTAGAGAGCAGTGGCTGCTCACACAGACCCTGCAGAGGTTCAGTGATGAGCAGCCGCAGCTCTCAGCCCTTCACACTTGGTAACATGTGATGACCAAGCAGGCGCAGAGCACTCACTTTATGCAGGGCTTCAGGAGGCAGCTGAGACGCCTTGAACAGCTCCGCCACTTTGCTGGACGACAGAGCTCCTGAGGGGTCCGCCTGGCACAGGCTGTGGAGACCTGAGTAATACCTTTGCTCGTGCTCGTTCAGGGAGATGAAGCTCCCTGCGGACGCCGCACCGGATTCCTGATCCATTCCCGGGGCTGACGCATGGAGGACCCGCCGGAGAGAAGCACTACAACCAAACAGATCGATGCATCCCGCTCCGGTGGCTCCGGTCACCGGCTCCGGTGTCAAGCTGGAAGCGAGGCGGTCGGTTTGGCAGCAGCAGGAGGAGGAGGAGGAGGAGGAGGGCGGTATCACCTCCGACAGCAGTGCTCCTTGTGAAGACAGACTGACTGCTCGGTTCAGGATCATCCACTCCTACTGCCTATTATGGCTGGTTGTAGCAGTACCGGCCTGAGCCTGCAGGGGGCTGCAGAGCACAGGAAGACTGTCAGAGACAAGGGGCTGCTTTATATGAACATCCCATAATAAGGAGACCACTCTATATATGTAGTCCACTCAGTCTGTGCTTTGACTAGGGAAAATTTCATTAGAGAGAGAGAGAGAGACACCCACATAACATATTAAAGGTATACCAATATATATTTAGAGGCACAAGATAAATTCAGGGGTCACAATTTAGGGCCTTTGTGTCACGGCATCACACTACGACGTGCTTATGGTCCAGTAAGTCGAGCTCAAGAGAAAGAGAAATTGCAATAGTAATGTTTCATAGTTTTTATTGGACCTAAAAAGCAAAGCTTTGTGCAACTGGTCCCTGAATACTTCTTCCATCAATGCTGTCAAGTGTTTATTAACACAGTGACTTCCACGGTGGTTTCTCTGGGGCCATCCACAGATTTAAGGGGTTACACCCCAACACTGATTTTATGTTTTAATTTATATTATAAAAATACACAAACACTTCAGTACAACAAATTTAAGACAACCTGTCAGAAAGTGATCCTCTGATAATCCAGTCAATCTAGCGAAAGAAAAAGGCGCAACCTCCGAGGGAAAGTTCGGACCCCTTCACCCCCTCTGCTGCATTAATTCTTTATCCAGTTTTTGCTTTTGTTGTGAAATTTTGGATAATCTGACCTCTTTGGGCCTCAAACAGTTATTTAAAATTAAACCATGTGAGAAGTCTAAAGTGGAAAATCCCTTTTTGGTGGAAGGATGGATGCTAACAACTATAAAACATGACGAGGGACCCAACCAGACACTGCTTTCCTTTAATGGGTCATCAGCCAAAAACATGAGGAACCACTGATTTATTTTTTGACGTCTTGTATTTAATGGGCTCATTGTGTTTTTAACGCAAAGTATAAATCTGAAAAGTAACTGTTAGTACACCTGTTAGAGAAGCAGTTGAGTAAAAAGTAGGTTACAATATTTCCCTCTGAAACGTGCTGGAGTAGAAATAAATAAAACCTTTACTGCTCCGAGGGGGATTTGTTCTGCACAACTGAGCATAAAAGAAACACATCAGCAGCACATCACATAAAACAAGCATCACAAGTGTCATAAAAAGCACGATCATTGAGAAATCAATAAGATCATGTGATCAGAGCTCGTTTGTGGGACAGATGTTGTGACGCCTCATTTAGTCTGCATACCTGCTCCCTGAAGGTAGAGACGTCAGTGGATCGGCTGTGATCTTATGAGATAGATTCATTATGTTCTGATGTGTCATGTGAGGAACACTGCATGTTGGTTCTCCAGACAGTTTGTTCTTGTTTTGTACAGACAGTGCCTCCTCCCCAACTCTGAATACTAAAGGTCAATATACTCTGAATAAAAGTCTTAATATCAACACGGTCAAAACTTCCTTTAGAGACACTGTTGAGCCTTTGCAAACCGAGCATTGCTGTAAGGGACAGAGAGGATTTTCTTCTGCAATGGATGTGAATTTCTTTGGTTTTCTTTGTTTTTAAAACCAGTGAGTTATCTGAGCACCAGCTGCAGAAGTGGCTCAATCTCAGCTCTGTAAATGTGGCCTGTCAGAGCCACATCATCTGCAAATGTTTTTTAATCCCTTCCTTTCCCTTAACATAGACACACTAACATATAGACAGATGCACAGCTGTTACTGATTTACAAAATATAAAAGGTCACAGATAGTTAATGGGGGACAGCGTTTGAAGAAAGGAAAAAAAGTCAGATGAAGTTGTAGCAGTCAGTGAGTGCGATGGGCTTTTTTGGGGGAGTTTTACCTTATCCACTGTGAGGGAGGGATGTCGTGTGCTGTAAAGCCTCTGAGGCAAACTGTGATTTGTGATATTGGGGTTCATAGATAAAACTGAAAACTGAACTGACACCAACAATGAAGAGTTTCACTGTATGCTGTAAACCACTGTTTTACTGTGTATGACAATAAACTTCTTGAACCTTGAATCTTTTTTAAACCCAACTCCTAATGCCCTTAAAAAGCCTCTGCTGCCATCATCTGTTCAGGAACACACCTGCAGTCTGAGGCCCTACAGCAAAAACTACTCATGTGAATCAGTGTGTCAGACTGACCTGAGAGAAACCCCAGAGTAAAAGAAATCTAAAGTAACTTGTGTTTTACCTCAGTTTATTAAAATGCATCAATCTTCACGTTATGGGATATGTTCTGGGAGATCTTTAGATTTTCTGTTGAGTTTTTCTACATGACCTGAGTTTTAATCTGGATAGAAAAAAACTGCTGCTCCTGCGTGTCGAAAGGGGTCAGTTGAGGTGGTTCAGGCATCTGATCAGGATCCTCCTGGGCGCCTCCTGTTAGAGGTGTTCTGGGCACGTCCCACTGGTAGGAGGCCCCGGGGCAGACCCAGAACACGCTGGAGGGATTACATATCTCATCTGGCCTGGGAACACCTCAGGGGTTCCCCAGGAGGAGCTGGAAAGAGTCGCTGGGGAGAGGGGCGTCTGGAATACTTTGCTTGGCCTGCTGCACCACGACCTGGCCCTGGATAAGCGGGCGAAAACAGAAGGACGGATAGATGGATGAAAGGAGCAGCACAATGGCAAATAACATGTGTTTTTATTTCATTTCTCTGTCCTGTAACTGATCATATAAAAAATGTTAAAGCAGGATCCTTTTATGAGGTTTATCTGTTTGTCCTGTGTGGTAAATCTCAGTTGTTTTGCTCCAGGTGGTTCCTGGGTGTTGTCTGTTCTATGGAAAAACACTTATGATGTTTTATGGGAGCAAAAGATCGTTTATAGTCGGTCAAGTGCTCAGTTTAATGTGGTCAGCTGTGGTTGCGCTGGATACAGTCTGCTATCATGAGGGTGAGATTTAAAGAGCAAACCTGGCAGCAGACTTTGCCTCGCCTGCGCTGTGTCAACTTGGTTCCTTATAAACAGCTTCGTCAGGCGTCCTTAACGACGCAGCGGTTGAACAATTAACCAAACTGTAAACATGACTGAATGGATGATTAACTTAAAATGACAGGAATTTGAACTGTGATTTTCTACAGGTTTTCTTACATAAACGTCACACACTGAGCTCACTGCATGGGAGATTTGGTTGAAATCATTCAGCATTTTATTGTCTAACTCACACAATGAAGCTGGTTCAGGCCTGATAACCATGTTTTAGGAGAGACAGGCAGAAACTGGAGAACAACTTGTCCTGAATGTCGAGATTTGGCACATTGAAGGAAGCAGGAATAAGTGCTGACTCTGGCATGTCCCAGTGCAGGGTCATTGTGTGCTGAATTGAGTGCATACCATCCTGTGTCCTGTTTGCCAAATCAGTCATTTGCTCTACGAGGAATGCTGCTCTTATCTCAGCAACAGAGTGGATACGATCAGATGCTTTACTCTTTTACAGTCAGCTCGATACAAGCCACACATTTCTGTTTTTACACCAACAAAAAAGGGAAAATATGGTTAAAACATAATAAAAAAACAGAAAAGAAGAAGACAACAGTGTCCGAAAAGAAGTAGGTAGAAGTGAAACTTGTGTCACTATCCCCTTTCTTACATTTCTTCTTTTAACTCATATATTATTTCAACAAAGACCCAAATTTATTTACAACTAATATACAACTATCCCCAGTCTATTTACCAGTTTATTTACAGTTCAAGTACCACCCAGTGTTACAAAATAAATATGCACACCCCTGACACTACTTTTCTGCGTCTATATATATCTGACAAAAATATCTTTTTTATTCTTTAATTCTTTAAATTGATTTATATTTGTGATTTGTTTTAACTCATCACGCAGCCCATCCCACATGTCCATCCCAAACACTGAAATACACAGACTCTTCTTAGTTGTACAAACACAAAATCTAATCTTCAAATGCTAAATAGTTTACGATGACCTACTTTCATTTAAAATAAAACTATAAAAAATATTTGCACCTAGCACACAGATCTGGATCTAAAAGGTGGAGCTGTGAACACTGCAGTCTGATTGGTCAGTAGAGGACGGTCACTCTGCTCACGGCTGAGTTGTGTCTGGTTTTGAGGCTCGTGTAACCACTGTTCATACTGTGGAGCGTTTTATTAGTAAACTGTAACTATAACATGAAAGCATGTTTTCCTGCCTCTCACAGCAGCTGGAGTCTGAGAAAAAAAAAAATTCACTTTGCCGACTGCCGGCAACTTTTAAGGTGGAACATTTACTTGTAATGTTACTCAATGTGTGAGATGATGACGTGACTCAATCAACACACCTTAAATTTCCCTGTGACAACTTTGACCATCATCTTACTGCTCCTCATTTTAAATATAGTTCTTTCTTGCTGCCATGATGTGTGCCCTCCACCTCCCCAACACCACCTAGTTTTTACAGATTCATCATCCTCATATGCCTCAGAGTCATCAGCCACCACCACCTCCACCAGTATCTGGACTCCATGGGGGGGATTTATCCTGCTGCTAAAATATCTCCCTCCAGTGTCCAAGCACCAAAGACTTCTGTAAAATCTTAAGCCCTTTTTAGATAGGAATTGTGCAAATTTGCAGGAAAGCCCAATCAGTCTTTTTTCAGCATTGGCAGTATAAAAACAAAATCGGGGAGCGCAGCAAAATGCCGCCTACCTACTTTT